CCATGTTGGGGAAATTAGGTATAAGTGCCGAGACAGATATTTAGGGAATCCCAAGACCTGAGAGACACAAAGGGACTCTGTCCTTCTTGCCCTCGTCCCATTGGCTCAGCGCCTGTAGCAGGCATATGGCAGAGGGTCTGTGCCTCAGTCCCTCCGTGTTTTCAAATAGTCTTCAAGCAACTGGCTCAAGCCCTCTTTGGAAGCTCACATGTCAGGGTGAGACGGCTGCTGTGGGAGTGTGGAGATCACACAGTGGGTGAAAATCCTTTGCTCCAACTGCCAGGCTGTAACCGGAGAAAATCTCCCACCTTCCCCCAGCCACCTTGACACCTGCCCGTTCCCTCTTTTCTTCCAAGATAGGACAGGGGTCCCTTGGCTCTTGAGGTGACTCCCAGACTCATCCCCAACCTTGCATGTCTAGAAACATCCCAAGTATGGCAGAAATCCCAAAGTCCTCTCACATACTCCCACCAAAGGGGGAAGACAGGGCTGCCCCATTAGTTGCACAGCCTTGAACTGCTTTCCTATCTCACATTCCCATTCCCCTGTCTCTAGAATCTGTGTGATACCCAGGATGCTAATTAAGAAATAAAGTATTTCTAGTAATTCCTCATAGTAACAGAAAGCAAACACAAGGATGAAGTTGGGTGTGCCTTGGAATCCTGCCTGGTCTTTGGGACATTCCTGCCATCACTGGGATGCTGAGAAAACCTCATCTGACTTTTGCATTTTGCCCTGAGTCAGGCTACACTGATGCTCTTTGTCTCCCAAGACCCCTCCCCGTGGGTCATACAGAAGCCGCCATCCCCTGGCTGCCCTGCTGGCAGGAAGAATGATCTGTGAATCCTCGGACTCCGCTGGAGGAAGCATGTTTCCTTGCACGTGAGACATGTGACAGCTGCCAAAGGAGTCAGTGGTGGAGTCCATTGTGAGCTAATACACCCTGGGCCTCTCCCAGGAGGAGGTGTGGGGACCTGGCAGGTTCACCTGGCACCCCTCCAGCCACCCTGATGACTCAGGAGTTTAGAGAGCCATCCATTGTCTGCGGACTGACAAAGACTGGCTTGTGCCTGGAGTGAGGAAAGCAGCAGAGGACTGTGGTCGGGCGGAGCTCCTAACTTCCAGAGACTTGACTCTCTGGAGGAGAAGTGTGTGGCCCTGCTGAACCAGATCCTATTGGGGACGTGACTTTCGCAGGCATGTTCTGTGGAAGGACTCTGCAGGCAGTTCCAAAAATGGAATCCTGATGCTTTGAGCTGTTTCAAATTGCTGATAACCGTACCTAGCTTGTGGTTCCCAGACAAAGTGTTTAGGGTGTTTCTTGTTTTATAAATGCATATTTCATCTGTCTGTCACCTTCTGGCTCCAAGAGAGCTGTCCTGGGGACTGGTGACGGGGCCACCCCATGAGTCTAAGCCAGCGGTTCTTAACCACTGCCACGGCCCCCAAAAGAACGTCAGAAAGACACAGAGATTTACATTCTGATACATAACGGCGACAAATTACAGTTATGAAGTGGTAAGGGAAACAATTTTATGATTCGGGGTCACCACAACTCCAGGCTCTGTAGGAATGGGTCGCAGTGTCTGGAAGGTTGAGGACCCCCACCAAGGATGCGGCCACGCACACATCACGCTCTGGTGACCAAAAAAATAGGAGCAGAGCACTGAGGGAAACCCGTGCTGAGGTTTGGCTCAATTAATTCACCAAGTCACACTTATTTTTTTCTTGTTTTGGTTAGTGAAAGTATAAATGTTAGCGTTTGTGACTACCAGACCCTTTACACTTACGCGGCCTTTAAGTGCAAAGCATCATGAGACTAGGACACACTGAAATGGATTATGGGGCCAGAAGGCTAAGCGCTCTAAGAGGGATGCCCAAAGGGCACAAAGAACAAAGAGACAAAGCAAGAGGTGATGTAGGGAGGGGAGCAGCTGCCCAAACAACTCAGTCTGAGCTGGATTCTTCCCCACTCACTGGGGTGGCCTAGAGCGTGCAGCTAACGTGTGTGGAGCAGAGATAAAGACACTACAGCTAGCACCAAGAAATTCCCGCTAGAGGTGCAATTAATTCTGAATCCTCCCGCAATTCCAGGTGTTTTTTTTCTCTAACCGTGGGACCAGCTTCCGCGGAGAAAACAAAATTAAAAATTTAAAAATTAAAACCCAAAACCAAGCTGGGTGTGGTGACGCACGCCTATGATCCCAGATCTTAAGAAGGCAGAAGCAGACAGATTCCTGTGAATTCGAGGCCAGCCTGGTCTACAGAACGAGTCCAGGACAGTCAAGGCTACACAGAGAAACCCTGTCTAGGAAGGAAAACCAACCAACCATAAAACCCTTCTGGCATTAGCAGTGGCGGCGCGCCCTCTTGTGGTCGTTATTGGTATCGATGAGTGGCCTCTAGGCCCAGGGTTTTTTGTTTCTGTTGTTGTTTTGTTTGTTTGTTTGTTTGTTTGTTTGTCTGTTTTGTCCTCCAGAAAGACAATCAGCATTAATACCAGCCCAGAACTGTTGAATACCGAAAATACTTTCATTTAATAACATGAGAAACTGTATGGTGAGGAGAAAAGGAATGAATGCTGTTCTTGACACTCATCAGGAGCTCTAAATCAATTCCTTCAAACTCCAGGGGCACCTCTCACTGGCACATTACCTATCACATCAACTCTAAACCACCTGGGGGAAGCCTGTTGCTGGATGGCAATCCGGTTCTTTCCCACTGTCACTGCGGAGCTGTCTGTCTAAGCCTCGGTTTCCAGCAGGTGGGAAGGCTGAAGGTGCCCCTTCTCTTCCGTGTCTGAGGCACACAAACTAAGAAGTTTTGCCTCTCAGCCAAAGGACATTCCTGCAATGTTGCCCGGTTTCCCACTCGAGGCTGTTACACAGGGATGCAGACTGGGGCTCAGTTAGCAGAATGCGTGCCTAGCATGCATGTGGACTGAACACACACACGCCCAGCATGAACAGCTATTGTGATGGTGCACGCTTGTAGCCCCCCCCCGCCCCCCCCCCACCCCCCACCCAGCCCCACCCCCACCCCCCACCCCCTCACACACACACCCACCGCAACACACTGTTGGTGGATACGGTAGGTAGTTTCCAAGGCCGGCCTGAACTACGTGAAAAAGTGTCCTCAAAAACAAAATAAACAACCAAACACACTTAAAAGCATATTACAGAGTGAGCGATGTATTCTATGGTGTGAGTGTGTAATAGGGATTGATGAGATCCATCTGGCCTGGCTCTCGGTTGTTCTTGTACCATGTGTAGGCTGTGTGGCGGGAAGAAGGCAAAAGGGTGGCTCCTCTCAACACTCTGTTTGTGGAGAATCCCACCCAGAACCCCTAAAGAAGCATCCTTCTGCTCTGGAAAGCTCTGGCGTCCTGCGCTGGAGCCTCAAGCATCTAGCTCAGCTTCTTCATAACCCTGGGAAGGAGGAACACACACTTCCGGCCCTCTGAGCCATGCTCCGTTGGGAGGGTGGAACCATGCCCCTGATCCATCAATGCTCAGCGCTGGTGGCCACTTCTGGCAACCGGCCACTCTGGCTGAGACAGAACTGTTGAGCTCAGAAAGGTGGCTCTCAGAGCAGAGGCTGAGCCTGGAGCCAGCACCCTTCCCAGACAGGCATGTGTTTCACTCTGTGCAGCACAAGAGAAGGCTTTAAGAGATGCTGGGGTCTGAGGCAGCCTCCCTTCTCTGCAGCCCCAGGGATTCTATTTAGGGGGGAAAAATTAAAATAAATGCACTAGAAAAGGCTGCAGAAAGACAGAAGCCAGGATGTAAGACGCTCATTGTAACTTGGGATGAGGATCCAGGCCAGAAGTAGGTCACACGGGTTCATAAGCAAGAGTAGATTCAAGCAGTAAACGGAAACACAGGAAGAGGGGTTTTTGTCTGTTTATCTGGAGAACACTTGGCCTGTGGCCTCTAACACAGCAGCACATTTCTCTTAATGATGGCCTGCATTCCTCCCCTGTAGTTAATTCACTGCTCTTAGGCTGCTGCCCCCACAGTTTGCTGAAGAGCAGCAAACTCCTGAGGTCCTGTGGAGCTTCAGGTGCTCGGAAACATTCTTTTAAAACAGCAGAGCGGGCTCAGGACGAAGGTTCAGGCACTGAAGTCTTCACAAGTCTGATGGCCTGAGTGCCACCCTAGGACCCGTGGAGGGAGGAGAAAACTCACCCCCAAAATCCTTACCTCCATGCTCTCTCTCTCTCTCTCGATCGCTCCTTCTCTCTGTTCTCCGTCTGTCTCTCTGTCTCTCTCACACACACAAAGACGACAATACATACACACGTATATACAAACACACACCAATAAACATTTAAAGATAAAAGTAAGAGTGATCACTCTTACAGGCTCAAGAATCCCATTTATGAATTTCTTATTCGTGGCAATTTGAGTGGCCTCAAGAGTATTTTTCATTGTCCTTAAATCCCAGGAATGGCCACGCTTAAACCTGACTGTATTCTCTGTAAGATGGCAAGTTCGCCGTGTTACTCGGCTTGGGTGATACAAGAAGAAATGCTGAAAGACGACAAACTAGGTTATGTGTTGGTAATGACGTGAGGAGGCTCCGGAGATGGGGCAGGGGCCCTAGCGACCTGAGCAAGAAGGAAGAAGCTAGCACTGGGCTTGATAAGCTGGATGCCGTAGAGGACATACGGCCAGTAAAGTGGCCATTCCTGGCCCTTTGAGAACGGCGTCTCAGGAGCTGAGCTTGGTTTCTGCTCTATACTATCCCTGGGTGTGTGGGGGAATATCACCCGCTACAAGGAAAGGATGGAGTACAGGACTGCAGAAAATGCCAGGGACTCCTCAAAGCCCTTTAAAAATAAATGGTAAGTTAACGCTTTGTCGATCAAATCCTTTCATCAAACCTCTGCCTCGGTGCTAGGTTCATTCAACAAGCGTTTATTGGGCACATGCTGCACAGACCCAAGGCCTCTGGGGTGCTGCCAGGTCTCCGTCTTCCAGGAGCACCCACCCCACACCCTAGTTCTCAATGAAACTGGGCACGCAGCACCTGTTCCAGGGGTCCGAGCAGATGTCCCCCTTTTTCTCACCAGAACGGCACATAAAAAGTCTGCAGTGGCCCCGCTGCATGAGGCACACGGTGTTTCTGATTCCCGGTGGCATGTCCCCTGTGGGTGCAACAGACAGAGATGAAGGGCAACGCCAGCCCACAGCCCGGTGCCCACAGCGCGCTGCCTTCTTACAAAGCTAAGCCCCAGCTTTGGGAAGACTTGACCCCTTAGCCTTTAATAGCAACAGTTTCTATCTCACGGTGTGACCGGGAGGGCACGGCATGCCAGGTGTGAAATCCCCTGGCCCACCATAGGCCCTGAGAAACTGGTGTTGCACTGGGGTTCTTCAGCTGCCTGGAGATAGAGGTCCTCTGTGGGGAGGAAACCTCCCCTGGTCAGTGCCTGGCAGAAATTTCACGCTCTCCCTGCAGCTTGCTTCCTTGTGCACAGACTCTGGGCTGCCTGGACAGACCCCTTGCTCCCTTCCAGCTCTGATACACATATGACTGTAATTCCTTGCTGAATTAGGCATCTTGGAAAACAGAGCAGAGTAATATGAGGCAGGCCTCTGGATGTAGAAAATTAGAAGTGGGCTTGCCTCCTGGCTGTGGCTGGATTTCCACTCTTATTACTACTATAAGAAGAAGAAAAGTAAAAATATGACTTGTGTGTGGCTTTCTAAGTAAAAAAATAAATGAGAATCCTCATAAAGAAAGCACTATGGGAAAGAGATGGTTAAAAAAAAAAGAGAGAGACCATTCTAACAAAACAACAGTAACACAACATAGGTCTTACATGCTTAGAAAAATAGTCTCCTGCAAAAGCCAGACTTCAGATGGGTGCTGACTTATGGGGATATGGAAATGTGGTGTAGCCCACCTTGACAGAAGAGCCACTAACCCAAAGGCTTCAGCATCAGGAGCCAGTTTTCTTTGAGTAATTCATTTTCTTTCACTGGAAAATCTTTTTAAAGGATACAGCTGGTGAGTGTGTGTGTGTGTGTGTGTGTGTGTGTGTGTGTGTGTGTGTGTGTG